AAAAAAAGTATTAAATAGGCCATGAGATGACATAAAAATGAGGTTGAATAAATTTAAATACAGGTAGGCCTATAGTATTATGAAGGTACAGTATTACAGTACTACTTTCAATAAAATTTGTCTTAACCGGGTTTTCGATTAATCGTGATTTCCATCCCCACCATTATCCCGGATAATCGAGAGTTGAGTGTATACCATATTACTTCAGATTTGAGATGCATCCTTTTTTTAGTTTATATCATGAGAGAAAAAGCATTCTTTTCCTTAAGTATGAATTCTTTCCTAATTACTGAAAGCTAGCTCACTAATGTAATGGTGCTGGTTAGAGCTCAATGCATACAATAAGTGCAGTCTAATGTGCCACAAATATGTGGATCAGTGATTTAAAATGCCCTCTGTTACATTTAAAGATTCTGGCTTCACTTGAAGTACATGTGTAGTTTTATTTACAGTTTATTATTATGTTTCCATTCACAGTATTATCAGTTTTAATTATATAGTTACAGTTTCTTTCATTGTATGTGATATTTTAACACAATGGCAGAAGCTTCTACTATGAAGAGGAAAATGTGGTCAGGAACTGAAAATCAAGAGCAGCAAAGTGTTTTAAATATTTTGAGCTGTATAGAAACACAAAATTGCAAATAAAGTGAGATGGGCTGCAAGTGAAACTTCCATAGCAATGGGTACCTTGTGCATGTGTTTTCAAATTCTAAAGAGAACAGAATAAGGTCCATTGGTGACCCCAAGCAAAAAGCAGAAATAGGAAAAGAAGAAATACATGTGTAATAAGGTGGAATGTTCAGTTCTGCTATAGAGGTTAAATGCTAATGTTGCAGTTGATAATAGCGGTCCTGAACTATCTCATTTTAAAAAATCAACTCCTCATGTTATTCTGAAGGAGACTGATTTTATATATCAAAGAAGGGAAAATAAAGCAATACTTACAGAAAGGTGATGCTGTGTATTGGCATCACAAATATCTCAGACAGATTAAGGAATTTTGGAGTGAAATGTGAAAAAATGTTCTGCAGTAGTACCTGCTGGCAATGAAAACAGATTTGTGCCAAATTACAAAATTTGTTCTTATGTAAAGAGAATATTACCAATACATATAATGAAATGTATTTTGCAGAAAACCTACTTCTTCCAACTGCAGTTGTTGTCAACAGTGTTTAATAAAACAGCAGAAAAAGGAACAATTGTGAACAAAGTCTTGGAAAAGACAAAATGCAAGAATGGCTTACACTGCACAGTATTTCATATGAAGAAGATATGTTCAAGAAAAGATTTAATGGACATAATAAATGATAAGAAATGGAAGTATGAAGCATAGAGGATTTAACTACTTGCCAAGGAAAATGGAGGTCAGTACTTCTGTGACATTGAAAGTAGACATGACAGGAGGGCTTTGAGTTCATCATATATAGGATATACTGTTAATGTGTTTAATGTAGTATATTCATGTCTTACATCAATATTCCTGACATACCTTCATTAGCATATTTGTTTTAATAGTGACTTTGCTTCCATATACTTTATTGTGATGTGGTCTTGGCAGCTGAACACTAATACAAGCATAGGGTAACAGTATTGATGTAAGTTCTGTGGTAATTTTTTAAAAGCTGGACACTGTAGGAATTACTCAAGAACACCTGAGTGCCATGCTCTTTAAATTCTTACCTTCACTGATTCCAATACACGGACTTTTGAGGCAGGAGCAAGATTAGCACCATTCAATGAAGGATCCTGAAAATTTGTATAACATATTTTTTAAAGTATGACTCATCTTTCTCACTATTAGGCTGAGTAAAAAATCTTTTGACTTTTTAGGGATTTTGTGAAGTATCTTGTTCCTTTACGCTAGAATTTTACAGTTTTTGACACATTCACTTTCCTCTGTACTGTCATTAATAAAATGTGTAATCTGGTCATTATTTGAAGAAAGCAGTCTTCGGGGATGTGGCGCCGTGTAGATGTTGTGTTAACCGATGTTTCAGAGGCACGTATCACATCCATCTTCAGGGTAGAAAAGAAAAAGAAGAAAATCTGAGAGTGAGGAACCAGTGTAAGCAGGTGCTAACAGACTAATGTTAACCGATGTTTCGGAGGAACGTATCTGTGAGCAAGGAACCAGTGTATGCCACCACCAAGTGTTATTGGATATCACATCATTAGGGATGCCACTGAGATTGAACTCCATCCTGACAATATGAACAGAGAGGTGGGGTTTTATCTCAGCAAGACATGGAAGCCTCTCATCTGTTCCCTCAAGAAACCCCCGAGACATGACACCAGATCCACACGGCCACGCAGGTCCATGCCCCACTCGCATCGCAGCCCTGAAGCTTCAGGGTTAATGCCCTCCAATTAACCTTGCCTTTCCCCCCCCCCACACACACACAATACTCTATACCTGCTCTGGCCTGCTACCTGCTGGCCCACCTCCCCAGACCCTTCCCCTCTCCTCTCTTACTGATTTCCCATGTAGCCCCTCACCCTAATCTTCCTGCTCTTATACAGCTGTGTTTATTCATCTCGACATTAGTCTTTTAACACCTCACGCTGGTTCCTCACTCATGAATTTTCTTCTTTTTTCTTCTACCCTGAAGATGGAGGCGATACGTTCCTCCGAAACGTCGGTTAACACAATATCTACATGGTGCCACATCCCAGAAGACTGCTTCCTTTCAGTATGTATAGTGTTTCCATTATTTTGCCCAATCCTTGTATATCTACATGACAAAAATTATTAACATTATGGGGGGGGGGAAGAGAAACACTGGAAGAAACTTTAAAGTAAAAATGTACTTCAGAGTAGTTTAGTCCTGAAAATGTTGGGCAAGCCTGTATTAGATGATTAAAAATATGAACTTGTTAAAATATTTCATTGTTAATACAATATTATTTTGATTGGCTCTTTCCCCATAATGCCATAACTATGGGTTTCCATGATATACAACAGGTTCTGTCTGAAAAAGGACAACAAATTTAACATAAATAATAAGAAATTGTTCCTTTTATTTGACGATGGTAACTGAAATACTCTTGTGACAGTTGCTACTGTGTGAGATAGCAGAATTATGTGTGAAAATATTTCTTGTATATTTTCATGATACATTTGTCAATGGCAGTTTGTTATGTTGCACCACATAATCACCAAATACACTCACATATACAAGATATCTGATAGAGGCACAGACTGAAAGTAGTAGGTACTTGTAAAGATGAGTAATTATTTGGAATCAACTAACTCACTCATTCACTTTAAGTAGAATATGAAGGTTCACCACCACTATTATGAAAACCCACTACTGTTCACCATCCTTAGCCAGCACCATCAAATTCCCTGCCTCACAACCGATTTTCCTAAGATTCATCTTAATGTTACATACTCCCACGTCCTCAGGTTTTACAGGAATGTCACATGAGATATCTCCAAGATAAGCGTTAATGGTCACTGAATATTTTAAAAGTTTCATGTAGTAGTAGATCTTGGGGTGGAGACTGTACCTTGATCTGTTTGAAAATAGACAATGTCAGCTTCATGTGCAGCTTTGGAGCAAAGCCCAAACTCTCTGTAATTGATTCTGTCCACAACACTGGGATTCAATCTGCTTCTACATTTCCACACCAGCTGGCTCAAGTGGCTCTTGCCTTGCAGAGGAATCGTCTACTCTGTTCTTATGGACACAGCTGGCAACTCAACACAGTCATCCATCCTACGGCGTGGTCTTTTATCTGACCCACTGCCAACAGGTATGAATTACATGTGACAGCTCCTTGACCTGTGGGCATGCACATCCACAACCTCCCTCAGCATCTTCACATACATGTGCTATGTATTATTGCCATTAGGCTCTCACCTGTTCTTCCTTGTATGCTTCAACTAGCCAAGGTACATGAGAGGTGAAATGTCTGCCCTTATGTATTGCCACTTTTTTGTGGAACTTGTGTCCTCCTATCTGGGCTACAACAGTGGTTTACACTGATGAATCGTTTGTTCACGGTGCACCTTGTGGGACCTTAAACTCTATGCTGTACATACCACTGTCAACCATGGGAGTTTCACATTCTCTGTACATGCTTCTAAAGTTCTTTACAGAGTTGCCACAGTTACACACCTGAATATCTGGTCATTATGGGGATTCAGCACCAAGTGTTCACCATCAGTAAGGCAGGGAAGTCTGCTGTATTTTGCTGAGTGTATGGTCATGCAGGCCTGCTCAGCAGTGACACAGTCAACACAGCCCACAGGTACTAAGAGGCAGCCTTGCTTAGTGACTTGACACCAGATGGAGTTCTTGGCAGTGATGTTCATACATATCTTTGTCATGCTATATCTCTTTTTGGCAAGATAAATGGATCCATACACAGCATAACTGTGGACAAGAAAGGCATCCACTGAGGTGTGGCAGTCCTCCTTACACTCCATCAGGAAGGAGGGAGCCATGCTTACATACCTTTGGATTGATCGCACCTGCCTGAGACATGGACGTTTGCTGCAAGGTGAGCTGGCACCCGTTTGTGCCCTCTTACCATTTTACAGATCATGTGGCTATGTACACATTATGATAAGGAATGCCAAACCTTCAATCTCCATGGCATGTTAAGCATCATTTTAGCAGATGATTATTGTAGTGTACCTTCATGGTATACAGGTAGGTATATATTTTATTATTCTAACAGTCAATTTATCAGTATTCATCTTTTAGGATCTCATTGACCTATATGCAGCATGTTTTAATGTCAGTTTTTAACCAAACATTTATTGCCATTTCATACAATTTTACACGCTGGTAGACTACCCTGCAGTGTGACAGATGTTTTAACTTTATTTAATCTTATATTGGGTTTAGTACAGGATGTTTTAACTTTACTGTTATCCAGGCACATATAGCTGTAAATGCTGACATGCCTATAAACCTACTCACTCACTAACTCCTCAGTCTTTTAAGTAACTATTTTATAAGAGGTCTCTCATCAAAATTCAATATGTATTCTTAATTCTCAATCTCATCTACATGCCCAGCCTATTATAACTTTGATTTCACTATGCTAGCAATATTGTGTGATGCTTAAATTGTGAAATTCCTGTAAAGATAGCATAATAAATTCAGAAATCTTCATTTAGATTCTCAATATTTTCTCAACTTCTTCAAGGCAAAATACGAGAATCATAGGTCACCATGATATGAATGAAATTACTGTACAAGAATGCAGTAATTTTATTCAGTTTCATTTTTCATACCTTGACATTAACTTTGCTGCCCTCATCTCCTGCAACAATCTCAACCGTGACCAAGCCAAGATTGTTGTCATCAGTCAGGACTTCTGTCTCTCGCAGAGGAGACCCCGCTTTGCGTTTCAGACCACTTGCAGACGGTCCAGACTCCATATCATTGGATGCATTCACGAAAGGAATCAGAGGAAGAACAGGTTTCACCTGCAGACATTAAGAACAATTTTGGTCGATTTTGTATCCACTGCAGATTTGTCCTGTAAACCTCCCAATCCTGTATCATCCTCTAAGTTTCCTATTACAGGCTTTGTTGTTGTTGTTTCTTGTTGGTATAGAGCACTCCTCAAGCAGTCAGAAGGTATTAATATTAGGTCAATTCCTAGTTATGTCAGCACCTGAAATTGTTTGCTGATCTCTACAAGCTGGGTTCAACAGAAACACATCCAGGGATTATGACTAGAGGACGATTACAGGAGACAGTATGCAATGGTTGTCTGCTTGATGACAACTGATTAAAAGTCATTGTTCAGGAGAAACCTGCCTGAGAATTATTGCTGGAAATCAGTGTTGAATATAAATTCATCTGAGGATTAATGGAGATTGTTCAACTGAAACATGCCTAGGGGAACTAATGGAGATCAGTGTCCAAGAGACTCATGCATGATGGTGATTACTGAATATCGAGGTTACAAAGAAACCTGCCTGGGTATGATTATAGAAGATCTGTGTTCAACAGAAGCCCACCTGAGGATGATACTGGAGAGCAATATTTAACTTATTTGAGAGAGCTTGCTCACTGTTAAGTATAAATTCATCTTAAAATGATTAATGGAAATTTGTTCAACCTACAAGTTATTACCAGGGATCTATGTTCAATAGAGCCCAACATGGTGGTGATTACTTAAGATCAGTGTTGAATAAAAGCTTACCCAATAGTGATTATCACAAGAAAGTGAAATGTGCCCAGGTTCATTAATGGAGTATAAGTTCAATACAAACATGACAGAAGCAGAAGTTTGCTGTTGTCAAAGGGTTATTACTAGTGATCAGTGTTCAATGAAATACTGCATTTTCATACATACTACTTGCCTCATTGCAATCTTCATGATTTGACCATTTTAACAATATCAGCTTAAAAGTAGACAGTATTAAGTTCTTTAATATCACATTGCAGCATCCTGATACACTGTATAGATCTGACTTTGTGTTCCACTTCTTGCTGTCTATTTGCAACTTCAGTTAATATTCACTTGTTGTCTTCTCTTTATTGTATATCACTACATGTTTCAGCCCAACTGGCCATCATCAGGTGTACAAGTGGTTGTGAAGAAGGAATCTGCTGCTCTGCTGTAATGCTGTTTTGCTTTTCTTCTGTGTACTTACCTCAGACTGTTCTGTGTTATATGGTTTATTGTGCTGTTGCCATGCATGCATTTATTTTATGGTTTTGTTGATTTGTTCTTTGGTTCACTGTGCTGTTGTCCTGAAGTTTTTTGTAGGAGCCCAAGCTTGCTGCTTGACAGTCTCTCATGACCCACTGCCGATCAGCAACAACTCAACAAAGAGACAAAGCAGTTACTGCTTCCTTGTTATGGGTCCACTTTGTGCAAAAAACAAACAAGCTACTAGTGGTGCTTCTAGAGCAATAAATTCTGCATCACAGGCAGAAACAAATGTAAAATAATATAACACCATTTATATAAAGGTGGTATATATACTCCAGCATCTGTTCTTATTTCTGTTTATGTTACATATAGATTACTGAAAATGGAATAAACTTAATTACCTCTTTGTCCTGCACTGGGCTGGCATGTCGTTCATGTTTAACACTGAGGATGGCCGCCAATTCAGGAATAGGAATACAAAGAGGTCGCCGTGTCCCATACAGAACATAGTAGAGATCGACAAAATCGCATCGCAGGCGTGAATCATGTGACAGCATACAGCTGGAAATAGCACAGTGAACTTATGGACAGTTTGTTCAGCCCTAGTACATTATACTATGGAATGACATTTGATTTAGTATTCAGATGTAATTCTAGTGACGAAGTTGAAAATATTTTTGATGGTTACTCACTTGATCAGATTCCATAGCCTCTCAGCAAGTTCCTCCTTATCCAATCTATGTTTATGTGAACGTTCAAAAGGAGGGTTTTCAACCAACATCCGTATCAACTGATGACGTACTAAAGGCTCTGGGTCATTCTCTGCCAAATCCAGCAGAAATTCCAGATCTGGCCATCGTCCATCTACTTTAGTAAAATCCACCAGAGCTTCCAGAGCAGCCAATCGCACATCTGTACAACAAGAGAAAAAAGGTTTTTCAGAAAGTTATCACATTTGACAGTACTAATTAAATTTTGCCTCGCCCTTTTTGACTTATGGTCTTATATTTTATGGCCAGAAACGTTAACAGAAGGAACAAGAATGACAGTATGCCCAAGGACCCTCAAACATACTCACTGTATGAAATATACGTATGGGGTCTGATCAAAAGATCTCATTTGTCTTACATGTTCCAAGTGTACCTAGGCACTGATAATGGCTTTTAATGCTGAAATATATATATGGTGTTATAAAAATACAGACTGTAAGGCATGCATAGTTTTATGAGATTAAACTTGTAAACTGAAATGGACACCATGGAAGATGTATATGATAAATATTTCTTGATGATCAATTTTAATATTATTCACCCACTGGTCTTTTTGCATGAGGTTTAGTGCAAATTTTGTATGTGCTTCTTTTTTGTTATGTGTGTTCATAGTGTAACATCTCTCACTCTTATATCAGCAGCTTTAGCCCTATTATTTTCTGATACTGTCCAAATTTAACTGAATAATAAATGGCAACAGAAAGTGCTGTGTTGTATGTTGCTCTATTAGGATATTTGGAAGTCAGTATTGAAAGGGTTAACATTATCCCTTCACTTAAATTTCAGTCACTACTACTCTATACCAAATGTTATAACTCAATGTACGACTACTACCATACATACTACGAGGACTATACGGAAAGTAACCTCTGGTGAGCTGTTAACAAAACAAGCAATGAGAAAAAAAATATTATATACAAAGAATATGTACATACTTAAGCTACTTCGGAACACAGTCACTTCTGGAATTAAAGGGACCTATTGTATCAGGGAATAAGTTTTTGTATGCCTGTGAGCTCAGCCACATTTTGACACATTGCATTAATGCATTATTGTTTAGCACTGTGGTTGCAACCAGTTCTTCAGAGTGGTAATTGATCAGAGTGAGATCAAGGCTGCAAGGAGGGTGGTCAAACAACTCCAAACTGAAATGCTCCAGCAGTGCTTGAGTGTGAGCAGCTGTATGCAGATGCACACTTTCAGGAGGAGCACTACACCAGATGTCAGCATCCCACACCTTTTATTCTGAACGTCCAGCCCTACACAGTTCTTTTAGTGTTTTGCAATACACTTCTGACATTATTGTTGTTCCTTATTGCATGAATTCCACCATCAGCACTCCTTTCCTGTCCCAGAAAATGGTCACCATCAATCACCTTTCTGGCAGATGTATGTTTAAATTTTTTTGGCTTCTTTGGTGAATGTATGTGCATCGACTGCTTTGACTGCTTTTTGGTTTCAATGTTCACAAATAAAAGCCAGGTTTCATCACATGTTACTCATACAATGTGATTGAGAAATTCACCACCATTTTGTGGTATCGCTCTATAAGAGTCAAAGCCAAAGCCATTCTCTGCATTTTGCGCACACCCATGGGCACACATCTTGTGCAAACCTTGTGGTAGCATAGCCTAAATGTGATAATCTCATAGAGAATAGAGTGAGAAATTTGTGGAAATTCACATGAGAGTTCTGAAACTGTGAAGCACCTTCTTTCACAAATTTTTCAGTTGACACTTTGAACAAGATCATCTCTCACTACAGATGGCTGGCCAACCACTTCACTCCTCTTCATGAACATTTCTTCGTACATCTTTGAATATCCTACGGCACTGTCTTACAGTTCCTTCACTCATTACATTTTGGCCAACAACCGCTATGCACAATTCACGATGGATTTGCATACCACTCATATTTTTAAGCATGAAGGAAACAGATAACAGAGCAAATTTTGCAACTGGCAGGATTATCAATTGCAGGACACATCACAACTCACTCTGTAGAGACAAGAACAAACACCAGGTGACCAGATGTATGATGGTTTACAAGGCAATGAGTCATGATTCTACCTTGCATGCGCAAGCTGTCCCCTTTTCCTTTATTAGTTGCCTAAAATAGATGGAGGTTACTTTCTGAATAGCCCTTGTACTTACCAATAAATTGTCCATATGAAGCATAGCTGCGGAAGAGTGAAGGGTTGCTTGGCAGATGGCCAAACTTCTGTAACTTGCGTATTGCCTTGAGACAGGCAACCGATACTGTAAACTTGTAACATGGAAGCAACTTTTCTAGATTCAAACATCGCGTTATTTCCTCCAGTACGAACTTTGTGTCAGAGGACAATGATTCAGCTGTGATAGCAGTTCTGTATAACAAAATCAATTATCATTAACTCTGCGATGAATTTCATATATGTTTGATTAAATTTTGTGGTTGAAACAGCAGCTGGGTACTAGCACAGAAATTGTGGCCAGATTTCTCTAGTAGCTGGGCTGTAGTGAAGAACTGTAAATATTGACTGGGTTTCAAATAATAATATCATACTAATGTAGGTATTGTAATAATGACTGCATATCAACTGTAGTTATGTAACAAAATCTGTAAACAGTGGCTGGTGACTGCTCATCTGACAGTTCAAATTGTACCACTATCTGAAACAAGTTTCTTAAAGATGATACATTTTATTTCTTCTTCTTCTTTATTTAATACATGCATTTAAACGAGTAACAATTCTGGAATTCCAATATTATAACATGATTACCAAACTGTAAATACTTGATTAAAGAAAGGGATCTCCATAGTGTACCAGGTTACTATTTAAATAATTATAATATAATAAAATAATAATTTCTAAAGGCAGACATTCAATGCTAAATAAGGTAAATTAAATTAAGTTTAAGTTAAATCCACATACACAGTAGTCAAACTTCTGTCTGCCTGTGTGCATATCACGGTTTGTTTCTTCCAAATGGTGTATTAGACAAAAATTAAATATAAAAAAAGAAAAAAACCCAAGTCAGTGTACTTTGTCATTTGTTTCTCCATAAGTAAACACTGGGGCTGTGATGACAGTGAGTACGTAACCTTCACATAGCTCATAGTAATGAAGGTCCTGTCTGAGTCAAAAACCTGGAGACATGAAGTGGTTGGTAGCCACCAGAGAAAACAAAAATTGTTACTTAAACTGCAGGGTAGATTTTTCTGCATGGGCATGCTACATATAGAAAACAATTCAATGTCAGTCCATCCCTCTCACAAACAGTGCATCAAAGAAAAAGACATTAAATGCAACTGACAACCATGAACAACAAAAACAGTTTTGAAATTACAATGCAAAATTTTCTGTATGAGCAGACAAGTTAGCTTTATGCAAGAAATATGAATGTGAGTGGCTATATACAAAATAATAATGACATACCCTTGCTGCACCACAGAGATTACAGGGGTGACTGTGGCTCCCAGAGCTTCCACTAATGAGGCCCGATAATAATTATCAGAATAGCGGTTCTTACTGTTATCATTATACTTGAACAGATCTAACAAGAATCTTATCACTTCTGGCGGACAGATTCCATGCGTGTTCCTTAGTCCAGCCATTGCCACTGGAATAGTCTGGAAAATATAGTTGGTAATACTATACACAATTTTTACCATCAACGCAACAGTATGTAAGATTTGAGGCTTTCACGGCGGTGACTATGAAGAAAGCAGTCTTCCGGGATTTGGCACCGTGTATATGTGGTGTTAACCGACGTTCCTCTGAAACGTTGGTTAACACCACATATACACGGTGCCAAATCCCAGAAGACTGCTTTCTTCAACGCAACAGTACTTTATTATTTATTTATTTATATAGCAAGCACTACAGGTTTTGACCTCAAATGGGTCACCTTAAGGTGCTGTAAGTTTTCTCACATACTATTATTGAACTGCAACACTAGCATTCCCATTTTTATAAATGGTTCATACAAGTTAGTTTCTATTCAATTTACAATCTAGACAAAACTTAGACTAGACATTATTGAGGTATATTTGATATGTGTAACATTTCACATTTCAGAAACACAATCCATTTCCTTCATCACATGTAAGGGAAGAAAAGATCCTACTCAGTAGGTCCCATTACAAAGGGCTAGTCTTAGTCACTGATCAACAAAACAAGTTCTAAGCAGAGTACATATTCTGTTAACTTTGAATATCATCAGTGGGAGAACAGACCATAAAATTTGCCAATACAGATTATTAAAGAAATTACAAGAGAAGAAGCTGAAATCCCCCTGTAGGAATACAATTTATAGTTACCACAAACACTTGAAAAAGAAAAGAGGATCTAGAGATTCACTACAAGGTTTATGACACTGGTTGGGGAAAAATATCTTGCCTTTTGAAGAAAATAATGTTGTAGGTTGGTGAAATTATTCTGCCTGACAATGTGTGGGCAGGAGAAGGACCCAAACAATTTACGAAAAATTGCAAGCATAGCAGGAGGTCCAGCCCAGTTTGCCACCATTGCATTTGCAACCTGCAAAAATAGAAAGAAAAAAACCAACAGTGACTTCAATAAAATCACTGCTACACAAATAAATTACATTTTCTAAACTAACTTCATGATCTATAATCCTCTTTCAGCAGTGGGTAACTGGTAGCTGTTCAGCTGATAAAAAAAAATTCCATGCCTTTATGGAACATAAACTTTCACGATTTTTTTACAAATGACCACCAATGTATCCTATACTTTTAAATCTTGTCTTTAGGTTTATGCCTGTGTCTGTCATATCTGTGGTTTCTTCTCTGTAGTTCTTCTTTCAAAATTTTGTATGCATTTCATGTGTCTGCCACATGTGCAACACATCCTACCCAACTCATACATCTTGATTTAATCATTGTAAATGTTATATTTAGAGTGTGCGGTATTCTGTAGTCCTCTCAAAGTGAAGCCTGTGATAGTATCTTCAAATATTACACAGCCACTTCCATCAAAATATTTACCCACTAACAAGTCAGGACCATTTTCCCATCTCATTTGACTCTTTATGACTTATGTTATGAAATAAGCTAAGAATCAATCTATTACATTTATGAGAAATGTGGGGGGGAAAAAAGGGAGTAATAACTCAATGGTGTATCCTGTCTTACTAACACAAGTAAAGTGATGAAATGATAAAGTAATAAGTAAAAAAAGTAAAGCTATCCCTGTAACAGGTTGTGAAGGCCCATAGGGTTGTGAGACGTTGAGGGTCCTACATTATCTAGACAATCGGCTCAAAGATGGCAGTAAGATTGTCAGCCTTACGTGCTGGCCGCGCTTTACTCCCCAGGAAATTTATTTAATTAAGTCCTGTTACTCATTTCTATTAGAGGCTGAGTTGACCCCAGGGCCATAGTGCGGCTGGAAGGATTAGATCAACTGAAAAAAATCCAATGACCTCATCGGGACTTGAACCCGCCACCTTCTGGCTTGTAGCATAGTGCCTCAACCAACTACACTACATAACAAAAAATAATGTACCCTTGTAATACCTTCGATCTATTAGCAACATACTCGTACCTTAGTGAGACAGTGGGCGGCACGGCAGCGTACTTTGTAATATGCTTGCTCGTTTTCAATTGTGTCTGTAAGTGCCAATCTAGTTGCAGGTGTTGGGTACCGCTCAAGAGCAGAAATGGCTTCCATCTGTGCAGTTACATCTCGCTCATGACGCAGCTGGTACTGCCATTGGTAATCTGGCTGTTCTATGAATGTTGAGCGAAGCAGAGTCATGTCAGGATCCAGACGTAACCACAGCACTGGTGAATCAGCACTGTTATGATCAGAAACAAGTATTAAGTGTTTGTGGAATTATGCAGCACTGTAGACTCGGACAGATAGGCCAATGTCAAAGCACATCACCTTGAAACCTCAAATTTTAAGATATTCCTTTCCTTTATTTATTTTTAATGTACTATGTTGCTAATGTTGGAATAAAAGTATGAAGACAAAAGACAAGTTCTTTGATGGTGACAGTCAATAATGGTTAGCAACAATATATATATATATTATAGATTCAGTCAAGTTATTTAATTGCCAGATCTTGTATAGTATTCATGCAAGTTTTATTGCAGACTGTTCATCAAGGTTTTGTAGCATAAAAACAGATTTCTTAGATTTAGCTATGATTTCTGAATAATTTACAGTATATGAACATCCTGTCATCATATTATATCATGAAACTCTTAAAGGTTTAAAAAAGCAAGTTGCATGTGAAATGGCTAACTAACAGGAATAAATCCTGTCATCCCTTCTGATATATATAACTGCAACAGTTATAGCACACTGACAAACAGAAACATCTGAACTTGTTGCTCACTCCATGGCACTGAGGTCCATATCCACTTCCTCACTAGTACAGAGTGGAATCTTCTTCTTTTTATTACGCCGACTTTTCGAATGGCAGGTAATATCAGCTTTGGCAACAGTGCCTTCCACTTGTAATGTATGCCTAAAAGTTCCATCCAGTTCCTGAATGGTAACAAGGAGTGGCCCCACATACTTCCTGATCCCTCTCTGTTGAGTTGCGTCTTGACGAATCTCTAGCTCCACAGTGTTCCTGTAAAGGAGTCAGAATCTCATACCTTTCTTACAGTTGTGTGCATTACTGTGGTCTCTCACTATCAGAAAAGGATGTAACTGAGTCTGTTCAAAAACAAAAATACTGTGGCGTGTAGACCCATTGCTAGGCAGTGAATCTGTAAACATTGGCGGTTGCTAGACAACGCCTGCAACACACATGTGGCCAACAGTACGGAGCAATGTTTTCTATGTCCACGGATGGGCCACTGCTATGCAACATGCATGCTGTGATGTCACACAACAGTAGTGGGTGACAGTCACTTGACATGTGTTTACTGTGATGCTTTGACTGTCCCAGTTCAGTTGAGTTCAGAGTTCAGTTGAGGGCAGTTGCAGTAGAGCGAGAGAAATAGTAGTGGTGGAATCATGAGAAGAGATTGAGTTGGAACAGTGAGTGCGTGCGACAGAGTCCTGAGTTCTGACTTGCGGAAGCATGAGAGGAGCGAACTGGAACCAGGAGTACAGAAGAATACAGAAGGTCAACCTGTGAAGATTCTGCATATGAAATAGAAGGCTTTATATGTGCAGTAGTACAGTGATATTGGGAGTGTGCGATCCAGTGAGACTGTTATAGTTTCTCAGTTGAGATGCGTTGCCAGGGGATGACTAGTGAAGATTTGGAATCCTACTGCATGTGCAGTGGTGAAATGTAAAGTGTGTAAATCAGTGATAGCACTGTATCGCCTGTATTTGTGTGTGATTGAGAGAGGCTGTAACCAAGGTGCCAATATATCCAATCATCCGAACTAGAACCCATCATTTTTGTCACATGTACTACCCTTCACATGACAATACTAAGGGCAGTGACATATACTGACAAGTAATGTACATTCACGAAGAAAATAGTAGACAAATAAATTCCAGGAAACGTTTGTTATTCAGTTGAAAGCTATTATCAGTCTGTCTACTTCTGTAGTGGTGGGGGAGGAAAGAGAGAGAGAGAGAGTTAGCATTTTCATGCATAAGACAGAGAAAACAGACAGGCTGGCCCCACCACAGAGTTCGAACATACACGAGTCACTATCAAGTTTCACCTCTGCACTTAAATTGCATGCATTGACTAGAAAATTTGTAAGAACAGTGGTATGCATGTGTATTTGTGTGTATTAATACTAGTAATTTCTGTTCACTGAGAATATACTTCAAAATTTTTCTTAATATAAATTTTATTGTTATATGGCATATGGTCCAGGTATGGCTCTCAGCATTTTAAATTATCCCTCATGCAAGAAAGGACTAGTCACCACTGGTCTAAAGTAACTAAGCCAGTCTTTAGCCAATGGTCATACCATGTTGAAAACACTGGTTCTTGTTCGATCACTGCCGTTAAGCAACATTGGGCGTGGTTAGTACTTGGATGGGTGACCGCTTGGGAACACCACATACTGTTGGCATAAAAAAGGCCACACCATAGCTCAAGCGGTTAATCGCTGGCTTCCCCCTGCCATGGCCCAGGTTCGATCCCCGGTCTGGTCAAGTGGGATTTGTGGTGGACAAAGTGGCACTGGGGCAGGTTTTCTCAGAGTACTTCGGTTTCCCCTGCCAATCTTCATTCCACCAATTGCTCCACAATCACCCTCACCTATCATCTGGGGCTGGTATAGCAGTACGAGGGACTTAGTCCCACCCCACTAGCAATAAAAAAAAGCCAGTATTTTGTTCAAGTAACGTTTTCTATATTACGTACCGTTTTCTGTTGAACACAAAGCTGAGATGGAATTTGGCATGGCCCCCTGTGCGCACCCACTGATCAATGAATACGGCCATGTCCTTGCCCGTTACAGTGAAAATGGCCTTAGCAAATACATTTGTGCTGATCAACATATGACTCCATAAACCACTGCCAATCTTTTGCTGTGCCCCATTTGATGCCAGGGAAAGCTGCTTATTGAATACCTAGAAACAGTTACAATCTCAGGGATTATAGCATGTTGCTCAGAATCAAATTGCCTGTCACTTCACTGAGGAGCCATCATAGCTGCACAGTGCAGTAATCATCCAATTATATCTCCTCTAGGATGGTGTGCCTTATGACGAAAAACTTCATTATTATTCTTTATCCTCCAATACGTATAAGAAACTGCTGAGGCTACAGGCACTGAAAGCCTCAGTTGATATAGGAGGGATGTTTCTGCAATAATATTTCTCTGCTTATTAATCTGGAAAGCTTCTTAATAGAGTAAGCCCTAAAAGGTGATTTAAAATTAATTACTCTGTATAAGAAATTTCTCATTTGAATCAAAACTCACTTTTCTATTGTATTATACAAAATCATAATAATTATACATTAAATTAATGGGTATACATGTTGAGATCAAACAAAACACTGTTACACAAAATCACATCATGCTTTCTTTTAACAACATAATCTACCAAGCATAGGGTTATGAGATGTCTTGCATATACCTTAATTTCACTGTCCATTCTAATGCCCCATGACAGCTTTCTTGGGATGAAAAACTGCTGAGCGTTTGTGAAGCTCCAAATACAGAGCGTTAAAATTCCTATACAAATCCATGCACAACCACCAATGTAGGTAAGATAATTTTATAATTTCCTCTAACACACTACCGCAAACCCTTCTCAGACACCCATTCCCAACAATGCCTGCTTTTATCTAGTTCATCACACCTTTTTTTTGTGGCAATTTTTTTACACAATCATTGTTATAATCTATTCACAGCAATGTCCTATTTTATTTCAACAATCATGTTGTCAGATAACAATTCCCTTTCATTGTCAGTCTGATATACTGCAGTTCATGAATTACAAACTGAGTGTCTTCTTTCTTCTTTGATGTTGGTCACCTTATGTAAATTTATAATTATCAAGTCCTCGATTTTAAATGTCCTGCATTATAAAATCTGAAATCTTGTGTGCTTTTCTGGATGACGAAGTTCATTTAAAGTCTGTTCACAACATGCTGACACTTACATACTGATTAACTGATGTACTTTTTGTAACTAGTTAAGTGTCCTTAAAATATCTTTCATGGAACTTTTAGAAACGTAATGTGTGGTTCTATGACTGATAATGATGAAGATTGTCTCTAAAACCTATATACTTGGTGTCAACATGAATGAGGTAATATGAGAGCAGGAAGATTTATCCTGTAAACTGTGCTTGTCAGGGATACACCTGGGAGGTTAAGCCAGAGCATCATCCTATCACTATACACCTGAAGGAAATTAAAACATGGGTAAATGAAGCAACAAGTCAAACTCAGGCAGTTAAATACATATATTTTGATAAAAAAAACAGCGGGTAAGACATTAGTTCTCTAGTGTATGTTATGTACCTTTTGAATGGGGAATCCTTTTAAATAGAACAGCATTAAAACGGAAAAATAAACATAATTCATATGGAAAAATTTAGGGACCATGATATTTTCATGTTTATGGTGTGGAAATTATGTATGTGATGCCATTTTAAACAAGTCTGACTGCATATGCATGTCATCTAAAGAGCAACTCTGCCATCTGTGGGTGACAATTAGAATACAGAAGTCTGTCTCAAAGCATGACTGCCTACTGGACATCCATATTACTTGCAATCTGCAATGAACCTATATGACCTGCAACATTCTATCACACATAGCAGTGTTACTGCTGTAACAGCAATAGTCATTTCTAAAATTTGTACACATCTTGGTGGTACTAAATGAGTACCAGGAATTAATTAAATAATTTTCCTGGGGAGTAAAGCACAGCCGCCATCTTTGAGCTGGCTGTCTAGATACTGTGGGACCCTCAACGTCTCACAACCTTATGGGCCTTCACAGCCTGGTACAGGGATAGCTTTACTTTACTTTTTTTTTTTTACTTGGTGGTACTGAACCTAACAGCTCTAATTCAAGTATGGGTGGTTACTTTCAAGACGTACATTAAACCAAATATAGCTATGGGTATAGCGAATGGAAAGAATAAATGCATGTAGTACGGACCCAAAAACTGCCAAATATTTATTTTTATTTTTTAGTGCAATATTTTCAGTAGACTATCTAAAACAATGCAAAATTAATAAAGGCTTGAATTATTGGTAATATCTGAACATCACTCAAAGCAGGATTAAATTGTCACAGAGTGATTCTGACTCGTGAGGCACATACAGTCCACAATTCTTTTCATGCTTGTTTACCTGTAGCAAGAGTTCCTGTCCAATGCGATGCTCCAGCATGCGCATGACAAGGTGTGCTTTCTTCCTTAACACTTCCAAATACTTGGGTGACATTGTATGCAGGTTTCTAATAGGAAAATAGAAGCCAGGGTCAGGGGGCCGTGGGGGTGCAGCTGGAGATGCTGTAGATGAAGGCACAGGGGCAGGAGCTTGGCTGGGATCCAGAACAATTCCCCCAAACTGTTCTTCATACCTTACCACCTCTTGCAGCTCCTGCAGCAGAATCAGAACCACAATAAAGCAGTGTGTACATGTTCTGAGAAACTGACAGATTTTGTGCATTTATGGGTTAAGGCAAAATCTATGTTTCACAATGTGTTTGCACGTTCCACTTACTGTTTGTATCCACTCCCTGTATTCATTGTTTCCAAAACATTTCTTGGCATATAGACTGCTCAGGTATGTAGAGATACCTTTTGGTAGCCATGTATCAGACCAATTCTGCATAGAGATGAAACAGCCAAAGAACTGTTCAGCAATGGCCTGAGCCATAGCTTTCCTTGTCACATATGTCTGATCAATGATGGCCATTGAATGCAGCAGGTTCGTACTGAAACATGCAGGTAATTAAGTGCTATGCAGATCATCAGTGACACAAGTTACTGTACTGCTTGGTTTGTCGGTTACTTAATTTGACACTTGAGGGAGAGTTTCATTTTAATGCTAGTGGGGTGGGACTAAGTCCCTTGTACTGCGGCCACTTCTGGCCCATTGTACCAGCCCCAGATGATAGGTGAGGGTGATTGTGGAGCAATTGGTGGAATGAAGATTGGCAGGGGAAACGTATTACTCTGAGAAAACCTGCCCCAGCGCCACTTTGTCCACACAAATCCCACTTGACCAGACCTGGGCCGCCGCGGTGGAAAGCCAGCGACTAACTGCTTGAGCTATGGTGCAAGGGAGAGGGTTACAATCCATTCTTTGTACAATGAGCAAAGAACACTACAGAGATCATGAACATGCACACATGTGTCTGTCTTCCATTCATCTGCATAGATTGGTTTTGACTGATACTTGATACTAGATATCCCCTGAAAAAGTGATAAGGCCATTTTTATCTTCATAATAATTGTTTTGTAAAAGTATATTATCATTAGCCAGTATTATGTAAGAACTCATGTGAAAAGTTTATGTACCTAGTACGGATTGCACCTTTCCAGTGTTGTTTATTTATTTATATACATTAATATAGAAAACTAGAGCATAACAGTACTAATATAAAGTTACCCCTCTTCCTAGCATGCGGTAGTGTAGTTGGTTGAGGCACTATGCTACAAGCTGGAAGGTTGCGAGATCAAAACCTGATGAGGTCACTGGATTTTTCAATTTACCCAATCCTTCCAGCCGTACTATGGCCCTGGGGTTGACTCAGCCTCTAACAGAAATGAGTGCCAGGAATATCCTTGGAATGTTCTTGGGTGTAAAGGGTGGCTAGTGCGTAGGGCTGACAACCTTACCACCATCTATGAGCCGACTGTCTAGAAAATGTGGGAACCTCAACATCTCACAATCCTATGGGCCTCCACGGCCTGTTACAGGGGTAACTTTACTTTACTTACTTTACACCTCTTCCTAAGCATTATAGAGTCAAGACTTACAGGATACTTGGAGGTAGTTCACATATTCAAGACCTCAGAAATAGATAGAGGTGAATGGTCAGTTTCATCTTCTGGCTGCTGTTCTTGCAAAGATAGCATCCCAGCTATCCACTAGATTACAGTCCAGAAGTACATGGTGGAGATAAGAAAACTTCCTATCTCTGCTTGTAGGTGATGCCCAATATACCAGTTTTCTGCCAGATACTTTATTGGTTCGCATAACAATATTGAAACTGATAATGCAGCATAACTTAAAAAGGAACAATGATATTCTATACCTTAAAATACTCATGGTGGCATATGCAGACACATCTTGATCAACTTCATCCACAAATACTTGCTTGTAGCATGTATATGGGTACCGATTTGCCAGCGTCTCTTCATAAAATTCAAATGCCTCATGCATGTATCGTGCTGACACTTTTAAAAGAGGCATCAGTTGTGGCAGACAGAAATGAGTCACTTCATGCATGTACGGATCCACAAATATTTCAAATGGTCTGTGAAATATCAACATAAATATAGGCATTTCAACATGCAGAATTTCACTGATTTAATGATATGGCAGAATTTATATGTCATATAAAACGGGAATATGGAGAATGCCATCTTCTGGGATGTGACGCCATGTAAGTCTTGTGTGAACTGATGTTTCGGAAGAATGTATCACCTCCATCTTCAGGGTAGAAAAATCTGTGAGCAGGTGGCTGCAGCCACGCTGGTTCCTTGCTTGTGGATTTCTCCACCTTGAAGATGGAGGCGATATGTTACTCTGAAACATTGGTTTACACAAGATCTACACAGTGCACATCTCAGAATATGGCATTCTTCATAGTCACCCCCGTGAAAACCTGAAATCCTACAAAAGGGAATGTGATGAAGAACAGTGTGGAGGCAGGATTTGGAAGGATCAATACAAAGGGCAATTCTTTCAGGTTTTGCGTGATTACAATTATATGACAGCATAGGTGTACAATACAGAAAGAAGTATTAAAAACAGCTTCTATGGAATGTCCAAGCAGACAGACAGCGTGTGGATAGTGTTCATAGCCAAAGTATGTACTCAGGTTGGTAGTGAGAGGTTAAGAGCAATGTTCAGTCAACCTAATGTCTAGATAGTTAAATCAAGGATGTTTTTATACAGTGGCTATATAGTTAAATGGGGAAAAAAAAGTGATTTTATTTTTAGGAAATTTCTTGGGATTTGGTCACACAGTCACTCATGGAAACTGTTCAGTATAGCCACTAAGCCAGCTGAGAGATTTAAACCATGTGCCCTGAACACAAGTCTAGAGGACTACTGACATACCAGCTTGCTCAGAATTTTAATATGAAAGAGGATGACAGTAAGTGTTGTACAAAAATGTACCAGAATTTTGGAATCTTCCATTCCTAAAATGAGCATATGCATGTGCATACATCCATCAGTCCATATGCAATGCCAAAATGATGACACTAATGTATAACTCCCCAAATCGCTATTACTTACCCGACTGCCAATGCAATATTTGGAGCACACGTTGGAGTGTTCAGTAGGTAATGATATGTCTTGCGACGCATGTCAGGAGTATACACGACCTCAATAAGGTCACCACATGAGACTGCAGTCATGTTCTCATCTACTGTAAATTCTAACCTCCACGTACATGGCTCAGCAAAGCTATCTACACACGGAAACCATAATCTTGATGAATTCTCATGTCCGTATGTAAACATATGTGCCCCTCTCTAAAATCACAGACATTAAATATTAATCCTGTATATCATGTTGATGTAATAACGTCATTAAAATATCTAAGTCTGAATAAATGTTATATAATTAATGTAAATTATACTATTGGTTTAATTATTTTTAAAATAATTCGACCCTGAATGTATGAATACATATTAAATTTTAATCTGTGTAAATAAAGATCACATATTTACTGTATTAAATTATATTATATTTAAGCATCCTGTTGCACTACACTTCTATATGTATAATATAAATACCTTCGTAAATGCAACAATTTATTGTAATTCTTTGTCTTTCTTCTTTCACACTACATGTTTTGGCCATATTTGGCCATCATCAGGTGTATTTCACTTACATAGCTGTCACACTGCATGTAATTTAAAATTTAAAAACACCAGCTTCCTCAATTGTCATTGCTGCATTTCAATTGGTCCTGATATACCAGAATCCCCTTGCTGATTTCCAGTTATGTTTAAAATCTCCGTTAATCGACGAGGGTATATTAACAGAGATTTTAAACCTTTAATCTCCTGTGCTGAAATATTGAGTCTGACTCAGAAGTGAAGATGGTATCTATTGTGGATAATGCTGAGTACACTTGTGACCATCTTTTAAAAAGCCAGTCTTAGACCTTAATCAAGCTGTCATTAACATGCTATCAAAACCTTATTAGACCGCCTCTGTGGTCTAGTGCTCAGAGTTCCTGGCTAAAGATCCAGAGGTCCTGGGTTAGATTCCCGGCACTACCAGATTTTCTGAGAAGTAGTGGGTCTGGAATGGGGTCCACTCAGCCTCGTGAGGATAATTGAGGATCTATTTCAAGGAAATAGTGACTCCGGTCTAGAAAACCGAAATTAACGGCCACAGGGATTCATTGCGCTGACCATGTGACACCCTCTATCTGCTAAAGTTGACACTAACTTCGCAGACAAGTGGTGGTCGCTTGTTTGGTTGGCATAGTTTGCTTGCAGACTCAAGCCATGGAGTGTCTTTTTATAAAAACCTTATCCTTCAAATTATCAGGGAACTCTATAATGTGGATCATTACCAATAAACAACTTTCATTTAGCCATATGACTGAAAATACAAAAACCATGCAACTGTCATTATATAGTGGCATCATCGTATGTTTCTGGAAGGTCAGGGTCAGCAGGGTTACAGGCCACTTAAGTGTAAAGTTAATTATAGTGACAAAATATAATGTTTTTATATTCTGAGACACATAGTAAATTCTGTTCATAAAGATTGCACCTGCTGCACACCTCAGCTAATGTCCCTTCACAGTCAGGGATGACAAAGTGCACACCTCCCTGAGGTTGCTCTAAGGAGAACTCAATCCCAAGTCGAAGGGCCCTTCCTTCTCCTACTACGTGGCTTGCCTCTGGTGGAATACTAATGACCAGCTCTCCTGCATTATTATCAGGGTCAATCTGAAGAGCAGCAGCTAAGTGAGCTGGGGAGTACACGTCCAAAGATCTCCTGCAATCAAAATTGTTTGTAACGCCATGTGTTTTAACTTGGAATTCTGATGAGGAACCTGATTAGAAGAGGTCAAATGGGTGCAAGTGTGAGAGGATTTAACTTAAATATATATGAGAAGACAGATGTTCTCTATTAAGCAAAAAAAAAAAAAAAGGTATTCCTGTAACAGGCCGTGGAGGCCCATAGGGTTGAGAGATGTTGAGATTCCCACATTGTCTAGACAATCGGCTCATAGATAATGGCAAGGTTGCCAGCCTTATGTGCCGGCTGTCCTTTACCCCCAAGAATATTCCAAGTATATTCCTGGTACTCATTTCTGTTAGAGACTGAGTCAACTCCAGGGCCATAATGCGGCTGGAAGGATTAGGTCAATTGAAAAGAATCCAATGACCTCATCGGGACTTGAACCCGCGACCTTCCAGCTTGTAGCATAGTGCCTCAACCAACTAAGCCCCAGATGTTCTCTATATAATTGTAAATAACACCTCATTATCTGGAATGTGATCTTTTATTATGATTTACAACTATTATGTGAAAAAAGCAGTCTTCTGGGATTTGGCACCGTGTATATGTGGTGTTAACCGACGTTTCGGAGGAACGTATCGCCTCCATCTTCAGGGTAGAAGAAAAAGTATAAGAAATCTGCAAGCGACAAGACCGTTCTCATGGTCTTGTATACACAATACAAAATATAATATAATACAAGTATAATACGGTCTTGTCGCTTGCAGATTTCTTATACTTTTTCTTCTACCCTGAAGATGGAGGCGATACGTTCCTCCGAAACGTCGGTTAACACCACATATACACGGTGCCAAATCCCAGAAGACTGCTTTCTTCATAGTCACCGCCGTGAAAGCCTCAAATCTTACATATTATGTGAAATGTTTATTTGGCAGGGTATGTATTTAATGAAATAAAATAAACAGTAATTAATGACTATGAAGTTTTGTATTATGATATGCCCTGCAGCAATACATTTGTGTACACAATGATAAATCTGTAGCAATAAACCAACATCAACGACACTGTGACATGCTAAATCCTAAATAATGTATTTAGAAAATATGTCCACTCCAAACTGAGGAACATTTTTCATTTGTATTTTTAAGAAACTTCTATTTCAAATTCAGCGAGTGCATACAAAATATAACATACGTATAAACACACAATGAAAAAAAAACGTAATGTGAAAAATTATGGAAGAAAAGAAATAAAAGACTATACATGTAAAACTTACTGCTTAGTGTCACCTTGGCATATATCCAAAAATGGATCAAAATACTGGAATGGTGCCTCAAATGCATCATTTATTATTACCCGGTAAATGCGACACTGTTTGGCATTAAGCTTAATGTTCCGCAAGTTATCTCGTAGAGGAGCAATTGTTAACTCCACAAAGCCCTGTAAGAAAAGTTTGGCAGATGAATATATGTTGTATATGTTTCATTTCATTTCATTTCATTTATTTCGTGTCCATGGATCATTATACATGATATAAGACATGTCATTCTTGTGTAGTTATAGTATAATAAGTTTCATGTTATACAGTACTTCATTTGTAAGAAGAATACTTACTATTATGCTTTGTCTCTGAATATTAATTCCTGTCAGGCTGACAATCTGATGGGCTGTAATCAGTCATAACAGAATTAAATTAGACAAGATACTCAACAGCAGTGTTTCCACAAATCTCTTCCTTGAAAGATCAGAATACTTGAAGTTACATTATTTTCTGAGAAATTTTTCATGTACTTATTTCTTTTCTCCTAGACACATGCTGAACATTCCCCAGGTAGCTAACATTGTACACAGTGTTTCACAAATCATATCCCTTCTGGAGGAGAGAATGGAAGCGTAACTACACATTTCAACAATACCACTGGAACATACTATAAGGAATAATATTTTTCTTAAACAAATACAGTAACTCTATCCATCGATCCATCCTCTAACATATTTCATTCAGTCATTCTGACAGAGTAATCTGTTAACTGATATTATTCTTGAATAATTAAAATTTTCCTTATAATTACTGGGTTTTGGACTTTGTTCATCGTCCAGTATGCTAAAAATTAGTGAACACGTTTCACGAAAGGGAAACACCTCCTCTGTTGGGTCCCTTAGAAACAACTACCCACAATCACGGGGCAATCCTCACTCAAATGCTCATCTCTGTATACAATGGTATCTAACCAGACCACATCAACTATAACCTACAGTGTTCTATTCTATGAATTTTTTATGCATAAAACTAGATATATTTCTGATGGTAATAGCAACATTATTGTATCAGTATTTATAGTTTTATTATTTTTATTTTTTCAACAAAATCTTTTAATGATTGCATGTCTCATTTATCTATTTATCATTATTTATTAATATTGTACTGTCTTGTATTCCTGCAAACACGCGGTAGCGTAGTGGTTGTGGGGCTATGCTACAAGCTGGAAGGACGCGGGTTCAAATCCCGATGAGGTCAGTGGATTTTTTTTCTGTTGACCTAATCCTTGCAGTCGCACTAGGCCCTGGGGTTTGCTCAGCCTCTAACAGAAATGAGTACCAGGAATTAATTAAATAATTTTCCTGGGGAGTAATCTTCGAGCCGATTTTCTAGATCGGTCTAGATACTGTGGGACCCTCAACGTCTCACAACCCTATGGGCCTTCACGGCCTGGTACTTTACTTACTTTACTTGTATTTTTTACTTTTCTGTATCCAATGGTTGCAGCAGTATGGATCAACAGAATAAATTAAAATTGAATTGAATTGAACCTCGCTTCAAGAATGAATTGCATATAAATAGTTTACAAGAAAATACTTATAATTTAAATGGCCTTGATTTGTCGGCAGTCTTTTCCTTCTTCATTCTGCAAGGCCCCTGCATGTATCCTCATAACCTAAAACACAAACACAATTGTATAAATATAAACAAACTTCGCTTTCTCTCTCACCCCCTTCCACGACATTACAGTATTGGCCTGCTGATTAAGACCACCTAACCATGTCAGAGTACACAATAGTACATGTGGCCAGATCACTGTTGTCCATCATCTGTGATCCGTGTCTGTAAACGGAGCCGTTGAAATGTGCGCTTAGGTGGTTTTGGCGGTTTTGGCGGTTGTGGATAACGAATTGGAATTGGACTTAGAAGAAGATATGTGTTAGTTTAGTTACTGGTTGCTTCAGTGAATAGATGCAATTGAATTTGCTAATTGCATGTAAAGGGCAGGAAAGTAATTTGTATTTGGAACATTGGAATAGTAAGATGGCATAATCTTGGTCATACTGAACCTACTAAACCATAGTAAACGAACCTATGAGTTCATTACAGTGGATGTCTTTTAAAACATCCAGCCATTCAAGCGGAAAATGTTCGCATTCCGAGAAGAATAAACATAATGGAGAAAAATTAACAATGTCATCCCATCACGAATCTCAGTTTTCATCGGCGTACTTACATGACGAATATGACTTCGACGATGAAAATAACGATGAAGAATTGGACGAAGATCGAGAAAATGATGAACAAGATGAAAGTGATGAAGGTATGTAACTCGGTTGCATTTAATTTAAATGTGATTCAATTTCATCGCTTTGATTAACCCTTGTAGTTTAAAATGTAGGTTATGATGCTCCACTACACCATGTGAGGTGGGCAACCAAGTGCAACATTCCTCAGGGATGCCAGTATCACACGGTGGTTATGAAGGCACAACCAGTACACCTTTTGAGGATGGAACACCATAATCCCTTGTGCTGACGTATAATGTTGCCGATAACACTGTTTGATTTCTTAATTTCATTAAATTAGTTACTATACCGTTCATCAGTTTCTTATGCTTAATGTTCCTCCACAGTCATCGTGAAGGGACCTGATTTGTGCTTTTCAGCTTTACCCATTATGCTACAAGGTGGTTCAAATATGACCGGGACCGATTTAAAAAAAAAAAATAGCCAGACACTTACTTGCACGTCAGTCTTCAACGTACTCCCCTCTGGAGTCAACACATTTTTTCCAACTTTCTGGAAGCATCCTGATGTCCCCCCAAAAAAAAGACTTGTGGTTGGCGGCGTATCCACTCCCGAACATTCTGGATGACGGCGTCGTCCAGAAACTGCATGCCTTGCAAGTCTGATTTGAGCCTTCCGAACAGGTAGAAATCACTTGGTGCCAAATTGGGACTGTACGGTGGATGTGTCAGAAGGTTCCATTTCAATTTCCGGAGGGTTTCCGTTGTTTTGGCCGTATGGGGGCGTGCATTGTCTTGAACGAAGGCTACCTGCTTTCCACCTCTCTTCTGCTTGGATCGGATCTTTTCCTTCACGTCTGTTGCCAGGAGGTCTGAGTAATAAGCTGCATTGAATGTTCTGGCATCTGTCAGAAAGTCTATATGGATAACCCCCTGCCAGTCCCAGAAGAACGTTGCCATCACTTTTCCTGCTGAACGGGTCCTCCGCACTCTCTTGGGTTTGGGAGAACTGGTATGCCGCCATTCGCATGATGATTGCTGGGACTTTGGAATGAAGTAGTGCACCCACGTTTCATCGGTGGTCATTATAGACTTCAAAAATGCATCACCTTCGTCTTCAAACTGCTGTAGGAGATGACTGGCAACTTGCATGCACACCATTTTGTTCACGTCCGTCAAAGTGCGTGGTACCCACTGTGCATTCACCTTGCAATAGTGCAGGTGGTATTTCATGTCTTCTACACTACCAACACTGATGGACAGCATTGCTCCAAGTTCCCTGATAGTGATGCGCCTATTCTCACGAATAAGTGCGTCTGCATGATCAATGTTTGGCTTGGTGACCGATATTCGCGGCCGACGATCATGCAGTTCATTCTCCACGCGCTCTCTGCCCTCTCTGAAGCACTTACACCACTCAAACACATGGGTCTGTGGAGACACTCTTCCCCACACTGTTGTTGGAGTCTGTGGTGAATTTCAGCG